ATTTTTATTTTTTCAATCTGTACAAAGGATACAGTCCTCATTTTATTTTTCTGCGGAGTAAACAAAGAAATAAGTTAGTGATTCCTAAAAAAAAAAGAGCACACAAAAGGTTAATTTCATTAACTGATGTGAAGTTGTGGTGGAAGGGTGATTGTAGTTCTCAATTGAGTTTTCATTTGAAGTCTTTGAAATCTATAAAGGGAAAAAAAGAAGTTAGTGTCTAAACAACTTGCACTGAAATAGGTTTTCTTTTCTTTGGTTGAGAAAGTTACCCATTGTTTTTTTTCCTCATTCCTCTAATTCAGTGTTTCTCAACCCTGGTCCTGGGCGCCCCCCAACACTGCTCATTTTGTATGTCTCCCTTATCTGACACACCCATTTCAGGTCCTGGAGTTTCTTCTAATGAGTTGAATCAGGTGTGTTTGATTAGGGAGACACACAAAATGTGCAGGGTTTGGGGGCGCCCAGGACCAGGGTTGAGAAACACTGCTCTAATTGGTGCATTTCAATTGCTAAGTCAAACAGTTGCTTTTGACAAATAACACTGAGTTGAACATCTTACCATGTCTAAGTGATTCATTGTTGTTGTTGTTATTCTCCGTAGGCTAACCTGAACTTCTGAACACTGGTCATATTCAGAACCCATCTGAAATAGGTTTTCTTTTCTTTGGTTGAGAAAGTAACCCATTGTATTTTATTTAATTTTTTTCCTCATTCCTCTAATTGATGCATTTCAATTGCTAAGTCAAACAGTTGCTTATGACAAATAACATTGAGTTGAACATCTTACCGTGTCTGAGTGATTCATTGTTGTTGTTGAGCTCCTCATTCTCCGTAGGCAAACCTGAACTTCTGAACACTGGTCATATTCAGAACCCATCGTGTCTGCAGTACTTGGTGCAGCGGGTTACAACACCATTTCAATCAAAGACAATACATACATTGTCATATTTAAAGTTGTTTGATGTAGACAGTGTTTTATTGCACAATGACTTAACAGAGGAAACCATAACTTATATTTATATACATGCAAAAATGGGCTGTACAAGACAAAATGTTAATGCTAAACAAAGCAACAAAAAAAAAAAAAACTGGTACACTAGTATTACATTTCTAGTGTGTTTGGAAAATGTGGTGTATATACAATGCTGAACATCGAAGATAACTTTAAACATTTATACTAGTAACCCTTGATATTCTGAAATGTTTAATGCTATTTAAATGATAGTTTTAGTATTTACAATATTAGTAAAAGTGTAACGTTTCTCCTCAAATAAAACTGAAACCACCTTATGACAAAGCTGATATCTCAGTGAGATATATAAGAGAATCACTCCTTAGTATCCTGAGTGTCACTCCTTAGAGCCATAGCCTTGTGGGCAGCACATCGATGTGAAGGCACAACTGCACCTCAGACAACATGGGTTCAAATCCCAGCTAAAAGTACTTTCTTGCTTCTGTTCAATTCTCACCTGTCCAACTGATACCTGTATCTACTCCTACTGTCCTGACCATTAAAGATGAAAAATCCCATTGCAAACAAACAAAAAAGCAACCTCTGAGCAGTAAAACATTTTTATAATGGAGTCTTGCAAGAGATTACAGCAAGACAATAAAGAGATCTCCCATGTTTCTCACACATTTCTCTCCCAATGTCATTTTGGATTCCTTTCTTTCAGAACTTTCTCATGTCTCAGTTTTCTACTTTTAGTTCTCCATACGGATTTTTAGGAGAAACATCTGAGACACTGTTGAGACTAATATGAGAAATACAACTAAGTCTCATGAGCTTAGAAAGAGCAACCACTGAGCAATCAAATATTTCAATATTGGAGTCTTGAGCAAGACCAGTTTTCTACTTTTAGTTCTCCATACGGATTTTTAGGAGAAACATCTGAGACACTGTTGAGACTAATATGAGAAATACATGAGAATCACAACTAAGTCTCATGAGCTTAGAAAGAGCAACCACTGAGCAATCAAATATTTCAATATTGGAGTCTTGAGCAAGACAATAAAGGGATATTCTATGTTTTTTTCACCACATTCTCAGTTTTGACACTTTTTTCCTCAAATATTTGTGTCTACTTCTATTTCCCCCAAGGAATTTTAGGAGAAACATCTGAAATGCTGTTGATACTAAAATGAGAGAAACATGAGAATCTCCTAAGTCTCCTGAGCTTAGGAAAAGCAACCACTGAGTAATACATTTTTCCTATGGGCTTATATCCACAAATAACTTTGTATTACAATTCCATGTAATTATTTTTAAACAAAACAAATTCAAGATAGATTTGAAAATAGTGTGTTTTTGTTTGTTTGTTTGTTATACAGTAAGTTTAACAAATAAGCAAAAGTCAACCTGCCTTATCAAACAAAGACCACAGGGAGGTGTCAAAGGACTGCAAACTACTATACGGATCCATTCAGAATCACTAAACACACCAAAATACAAATGAAAAATGAAAACATTCTGAATGTGTGGAAACTCAGCGATCTGTAGGCGGGTCAACATCATCTGTGAGTAGTTCCTCTGTCAAAAACCAGACAACTTAACCCAGACCCATCGACAGACATATACGCATGTCCTTTCTTATCAGTGATGCGTTATATTATCAGCTATGCATGTTCTGGTAATTGCTTACAACTGTTTCAATTTTCATAGGAATGTGGCTGCATCACCGGCATCTACATTTAGTCATTTTGCAGACGGTTTTATCCAAAGTGACTTACAATTGGGGAATACATAAAGCGATTCTTCTTAAAGAGGCAAACAGACACATGAAGTGCTCGTAATACCAAGTTTCAGGCATTGTTCAAATAAGTACAAGCTAGAAAGGGAAGGAATAAATAAAGAGAAAGACTAAGTTTTTATTTTTTCTTTAATTTAGGATGATGTCAAGTAGTGTCGAAAGAGATGAGTTTTCAGCTGTCGCTTGAAAATTGTCAGGGAATCAGCATTCCGGATGAGGGTGGGAAGATCATTCCACCAGCCAGGAATGGTGAACGAGAATGTTCTGGAAAGTGATTTTGAGCCTCTCTGTGATGGTACCACAAGGTGTCCCTCACTAGCGGATCTCAGACTTCAGGAGGGGATGTAGACTCGTAGTAGTGAGTGGAGGTAGGCGGGTGCTGAGCCTGTGGCTGTGTTCTATATGCAAGCATCAGTGTCTTGAACTTGATGCGAGCCGCAACCGGTAGCCAGTGCAAGGAGATAAAGAGAGGTGTAACATGGGCTCTTTTGGGCTCGTTGAAGACCAGTCATGTCGCTGCATTCTGAATCATTTGTAGAGATTAGATCGTGTCCAGCCAGACGAGCATTGCAGTAGTCCAGGCTAGAAATGACAAGGGCCTGGACAAGAAGTTGTTCAGCATGCTCCGTTAGTGGGGCCTGATCTTTGCATGATTAAGGCCTGATCTTTCTAATGTTGTGCAATGCAAAACTGCAAAATCAAGCAGTCTTTGCAATGTGGTCTTTGAAGGTCAGCTGGTCATCAAAGATTACACCAAGATTTCTGACCGAAGTTGATGGGGTAATTA